GAAGTTTGTTCCGTTTGCTCAGCCCAGCAATAAGCTGACACGGAACACGCCCTCGCTCATAGTGCTCTGGGGCCCAGTGAGAACATTGTAGAAGCTAGACATGACCCTCATCCTGCCAGATAAACTGGGGATACGGCATGAGCCCGGTGGTGCGTTCAGGATGGAAGGTTTAATCCTGAGTCCCTAGCAATCTTCCGTTTACCGTGCCTTCCTTTCTACTGATTTAATTAAGACATAATGTGTACTGTTCTCCAGCAGGACAGCCTCCAAGGAAAGCCTTCGTGTTTACGGACATAAATGGGTTTTGAGACTACGCAATGGAAAAACCAAAATGAGTAGAAAAAGCACAGGGGACTGGAGGACAGCCTGTTAATGCTGGAGAACAGGGACCAGCTGCCATTGTTAGAACAACTTTGTGAAGGCAACACAGGCCAGATTGCTTTTCTGCCCAGAAGACCGTATTTATCCGTCCTCTTTTTTCTCTCCTTTGCACCCTAGGAGAAAGAACGATGAGAACATAACCCTAGAGACGCTTTGCCATGACCCCAAGGTTACCTACCATGGAATTGCTCTTGAAGACTCTGCTTCTCCCAAGTGTATTATGAAGGAAAAAAAGGTGTTGGGCGAGACTTTCTTTATGTGTTCCTGTAGCACCGATGAATGCAATGACTACATCATCTTCTCAGAAGGTGAGTCTTCTTCCCCTAAGTGTCTGGAGCCCCGCTTCCTCTGTGTCCAGAGTCTCAGGCTCCATCCTTCTGGGACTAGACAGGGAGCTTACGCTCTGTGGATTAGGAACCAGGCACCTGGCGGGACGAGGTGCTTAAGGAGTAACAGGGCTGGTCCTGGCCCAGAGCCAATCTGGCTCATAGGGCCCACGTTCTTCTTGGCCTGCAACCAGTTTCTTCCCCGACAGCAGTGGCTCTCCGTGTGGTCCCTGGAGCAGCCGCGGCGGCATCACCTGAAAACTTGTCAGCAACGCAGATTCCGGGTCCCCACCCCAGACTATGGAAGTAGAAACGCTGGGTGCAGGCCCCGAAACCTGTGTTTGAATAAGCCCCCCAGGTGATTCTGATGCCGCTGAAATATGAGAACTACTGGTCTAGAGATTGGAGGAGGCTGTCTTACTTTGAAGACTTAACTTTGAATTAAGTCAAGAAGTTTTGTGTACCTGTTCTCAGGATTTGTCTGAAGGGTACTTATTAATGCCCCGTCTCTGAGGAGAGCTGAAATGCAGACAGAAAATAACGACCCAGGATTTATAGGGAAAGATGAGATTAGAGTCTTGCCTCCATCTTTGAAGTTCAACATTCACTCAGCTTAAAAAGAGAGCACACACTATTCCTTCAGTTTAAACCACTGTTCAGTGATTTTTAACCACAAAAATAGTATGCGTTCCTTATCAAAAATTCAGACAATCCACAGCCTGTAAAAATTTTAAATGGAAGTACGTAAGTTTCCTCTCCTCACTCCCAACCCAGTAGATAATCAATATGAATAGTTTGTTGGATGCATACTTGTCTCTGTCATCCATTCATATTATCCTTCCTTATCTCCTCTGTTTCCCTATTTCCTCCCCCTCTCTCTTCCTTCCTTCCTTCAATCCATGCATCTGTCCGTCCGTCCGTCCATCCATCCATCCATCCATCCATCCATCTATCCATCCCATACCCTCATTCACCTTTCAGTGCAAATAGTTGATCATACTATAAATATTGTTTGACAGTATTTTTTCACCCAGCCCCCTTACTTCTCCTTTTAAATAAGACAATACATATGGATATACTGCCTGCCTTTTAATTATTGTCTAGAAGTTCCATAATGTGGATGGTTAATCCACATTAACCATCCCAACAGGGATTTAACCACTCCCTGTTGGTAGATTATTTAGTTGTCTCCATTTTTCCACTTAATCCTACATTGAATATCGTTGCAAAAATGTCTTGTACATTTGTGCTAATATTTCTGTAAGAGAGATTTCAGCCCCAAGGAGGTCTGATTCAGTAAAAAATCCTTTTAGAACACAAGTTCTGGGTTTACGCAGCATCCCTGCTGCTCTGTGTATCGCAGCGATGGAAAACGAGGTCTCATGCTTTGTGTATGGTGCTCATGAGCACTGCTGACCCACCTTTTTCTCTCTCTGTGTCTTTCGCCAACTCCCATTCCCCTCTTCTTGTCTAACCCCTTACCTGTTCCAGATTCTCTGTACAGAGTCAGACACGTTCATCTTGTCAGCACAACACTGTCGAAAATCCCCCCTCCCTCCTATTTTCTCATCCCATGATCCATTTGTCTCATTTTTCTTGTGTAATTTGAGTTAGGTGGGAAGATATAACTGTGTTAAATCACACTAAAGCATGGTAACACCTGCTATACTGACTTAACACATGAACCTTCCCCAAGTAGTTCACCTTTTCAAAGAACTCCCAGTCTAAGGTTAAGGGATTAATCTCTAATAGTAGACTATCCAAACAGGTTTATTGCCATCGATGAAACTTTTCTCTCCTTTTGCAAACTGGTTTATCCACAGTGGAAGAGTTTATTCTGTCCAGAAGGGACAAAAGTTAGTAAATGGCCTCAAAGTTGAATATATAGTTGTATTACTATAAGCTTTTAAGGTATTAATGACTTCAGGGGCACCTAGGTGGCTCAGTCAGTTAGGTGTCTAACTTTGGCCCAGGTCATGATCTCACAGTTCATGGGTTGGAGCCCCACATCCGACTCTGCACTGACAGCCCAGAGGCTGCTTTGGATCCTCTGTCTCCCTCTCTGTCTCTGCCCCACCCCAGCCTGTGTTCTCATTCTCTCTCTCTCTCTCTCTCTCTCTCTCTCT